TATATATATATAAGGGATGGCCAGAGGCTGTAATACGAGCCTCCAATCACCCCTAATGTGTCTAACAATTCGAGTACCATGTTCTTAAGGCCAACTTGCCAAAGAGGATTCAAACCCCCGACCTGAGGGATCTTATACCATAGATGCCAACCAACAGGCCAGGGTACACAACACTCTCTTTCTCTCTCTCTCTCTCTCTATGTGTGTGTGTGTGTGTGTGTGTGTGTGTGTGTGTGTGCGCGTGTGCGGCAAGCCGTGGCCTGTTGGTTGGCGGGGTTCACTGTAAGTCCCCTCAGTTCTAGCATTAGCTTCTTCATGAAGATCCAAAATTGTAAGATCTTAAGATCTTAAAGTTCCAAAATCTTTCATAACATTTTATCTCTTCTTAAGATTTTATCTCTCATAGCATTAGCTTCTTCATGAAGATCCAAAATCTTATACCCCTTTTGGTTAGAAGCATAACCAACAAGCACATATTTTTTAGCTCAGGGTTCAAGTTTTTTTAAATTATGAAGGTGAACGAAAGTAGTATACCCAAACATCTATAGAGGTAGAGAAGATGAAAGATGATTCTTTGGAAGTTTTTTTCTTAACATTAACTTTATTAAGTGTTTTTTTTATTTGAAATATAATAGTAAAAATGGTTTCATCCTAAAGATATTTAGGCCCCGTTTGGGGAGTCGGTAGGCCAGCGACGCGGCGAGCAGACATGATTTAATATTATTTGGGGCGGTGTTTTACGCCTGTCGCAGAGCATTTCTCATAAAATGCGGGTCGCGGGGTGAACTCGGGCTAGGGGTCAAACATTATTTTCTACGCTGATGCCCTTCTTTATTTCGCGATTCACTCTAACCCTCAGCCCGAACTCGTCTATGATCTCGCGCGAAGCTGCGATCTCATGCTTCCACTTCTCCTTCTCTCTTCGGCTCCCATTACCAGTTCATCTCCTCTCTTTTGTTCCCTAACGGTAAGCAGTTCATTTATTTTTTTGAAAAGGATTTCAGTAACTGTGAAATGAAAGATTTGGGTGAGTTTTTTGGAGGCAATTATCCATGTGAATGCTTGTTCTTTGGATACTTTGATGTTACATTTGTAAATACTTAAGAATTCGGTGGTATGGATGTGAATGCATATTATTTGCCATATTGTCCATCCAAGATTCGTCAAAGGTAGAAAATTTTATGTTCAGGCTTAGTGTAAATTCGTGTCATAGCACGACACAATGATACCAAAAGATAGAAAAGCTCCATGTAAGTTATCCATCAAATTGTAAGAGTATTATATTCTATGTGTATAAATATGAAAGTTTTGGTGTGAGATATGTAGAATACATTAGTGTT